CTGTCGTTTGTCCTGCACAGAGATGCTGCTGTAGATGTGTCTCTAGCTGTGTCTGGATACAATGAAACATGCTGTAACTAAGTGCTTGTGTTGCACAGTTCTACTAAACGTTCCATTCCATGCATGCTCCGCCCACATGGTCAGGAATGTCAGGTGCTGCATCACCAAATGCTGCTCCCGTTGCCTAGCAATTACAGCTGTTTACTTTTTGGGGTCTGGTTCATTATTTAATAAAGAAAACATGTCCAAGTACTGGGTGCTGAGGCTCAGCGCATATTCTAGCCTGCTGTGTGGGTGGGCAGCTAGAAATCACTGGTGGGCAACATGAGTGAGGAGAAAACTGGAGCAGCCAAGCAGGGAGCTGCAGGTTGCTGGTTTGAGTATCTGTTCAGATGCGGGTGAACATCTCTCTGAGATGTTTGCCAACAGTCCCAGATAAAACAATAAGGATAAAATCACTGGGTCTGTTTAAGGAAAACTAAAAATCCACAAAGTAGAAGAATATGGGCACAGCTAAAGACTTAATCCCATGAGTCCCATTGGATGTGCATGATCCATGGCATGCAATAGAATTAAATATCACTGCACATAATTCATAGATCCAGTTCATTAGAGACACACAATGTTAATAAGTTCAGCACAGAGAGGAGCAACATCATTTGTGTGCTTCCTTCTTTGGAAATCATGGTAAATTAGTTGTTGGAAAATCCAGTCCAGGTTTTGAATCCTCCTTTTCTATATGACAATAGTGCAAGTAAACAGGAAATTACCCAGGGAAGATTGCTATAAAATAAAAATGTAATTCAGTGTTTTTCAATTTTAAATACTAAGGTAGAACATATCAGAAGTGGTTTGGTCCCATCAAGCAAGAAGAAAACCAAGAAAACCAAAAACCACTCAGCAAAAATGAAGAGGAGTTGTCCTTCTGGGAGTGAAAAAAGAGGAAAAGGAAAAAGCAAGACAGTGGTAAATGAAGCTGATAATAATGATGATTAAATGATTAAAAGCATAGAACTTAGCCCTTACACCATTAACACCTAATAAAGAAAGAGTCTGCTTGATCTGAGCATTGTTTCTAAAATAAACATGGTCTGTCTAATGGAAACATTTGGAGGTAACAATACTTTTTTTTGTTAACTGATGAAAACTGCAACTGCACTGTCAAGCTATTAATGCTAATTTATACAATTTACTTGCAATGTAACAAGCATTACTCTGCAAGCACATATACTTATTTTGCTATATGAGAAAACACTCACAAAACATGGATAAAGCAGTCAGGTTGGAAAAATTTAGCCAATGTGAAAGTGCCTTAAATCTCTATTCTATCTGAAGGCCACCAGATGGCGATAGCTGTAGTTCTAAAAAAGACTTTATTCCTATAGTATAGAAGTAAACGGGAAAACAACTTTCTGTCTTGACCTTTGCACACTGTTTATTTGCACACTTTATTTTAAAATTTAACTCTAATTCTTAGTCCAGACTTTACTTCTTAGGCTAAATTCTTAATTTATTCCTTATATCTTTTAGACCTTTCTTTGATGTTCATTTTTTAAAATCTATTATGTAACTATTATTGCTGTTTTTTTGTAAATTTTTACTGTAGTTTTATGGTTGGGCATTGCACAGCAACAAGCATTTCACTGCATGTCATACTGTGTATGATGGTGTATGTGACAAATAAAATCTGAATTTGAATTTGACCTAGGTTATGTTTGCATCTTTTTTTTTCCTTTTTTTTTTTTACTATTGTCAGATTATTTAATGAGCTTCCCTGTACATTTTTTGTAAAGAGCTCCAACAGACTGTTGCCACCATTACGACATTATTCAATTATTGATTAATTACATGTGCATGTGTACTGAAGAGCAAATTCTCACCTTCATCCATAATGTAAAAAACAGGCATACATTTAGGAAGCAATCCTAATCCTGTTGAAATTTCGCATGCCTCTGACTAATTAGAGTGACATGGAGAGAAAAGGGGGGGGGAAAGACAGCCACGGACCCGACAGCTGATTCCTACTCTTCAAACTTGCAAAGCTGAAAAATTCATATGGGTTGTCTCCACCATGTATGTCAAGATTTACTAATGCATTACATGCATTTACAATTGCAGATACCAGGTTTCCTGTAGAATCTTTCCACACAGTGACTGAGATGTTTGCTTGAGACAGCCAGGTATCTCTACAAATAATTTACAAACCACCCTGTGAGCAGTTTCTGAGCCAACTAGGAGCCGGACAATATTATAATACTCCCCTCCTCATCCTCTTCAGCATTCTCCTCCCAAAATTGAGTCATGTTGGAAACTGCAATACTGGAATCCCGTAATGCATTAAAAAGGTCAATACATTTTATTGGGATTTGGGACTTCAATAAAAACTCTGATACCATATCCCAAGACTAAGTGCAAACTAAAATCCATATTTATTTATTGTCAGAATAATCATGGGAGGTCTCATTTACTGAAGTAATAACATGGCGTGTTGTGTGTTGAGTGCAACCTGTTGTGTTGTGGTACTGTAACCTTTGATGTTGACTGAGTTGCAAAACTCTGCTCTGTACAAACACATGTATCCAAATATGGGACTTTTTTATGTTCAGTAATGATGTTGTTGGATATTACACAAGTGCAATAACATCTTTGTAACTCACATTTTCTTTGGTTGTTTGTGAGCATGACTTTTATAAAAACAAAAAATGATAATGCTGTCATGCAAAAAAAGTTTGACACAATTAGTAATGAGTTCAGAATGTTTTTGTATGGAAAAATAGGGAGGCATAGTTTCTCTATATATATAGGATATAGGAGATTTCCTGTTATGCGTGTTGCTTGCTTAACAGTATTTTCAGATGTTCGGTTGGCTGGCTATGGTGCTATAACATGCAGCACAAATTATATTGTGAAAATTGTTATACAGCAGTCCTGTAAGGGGTACAATGCACTTTACTAACAACTCAGTGGTGCTTTCAATAAAGAAAGAAGCTCAATGAATGACAGTTTTGGTTTTAGGATTAGTCATATATTTCCCAAAGCTGTTTTGGTGGGGTTACTCTCCAAATGTTTGACTGCAATTCTTGGATTTTTTTTCCCATTAACATAGAATTCCGAATTCCACGGATTATCAGAAGATGTTAAAATAATAAGTCATTTTCCTGTTGCATGAACCATTTTAAGCCAAGCTTTGAGTTCATGGTTAACTCAATGTCTTAAAGGTACCAAGGTCCTGTTGTTGCAAAACAAGCCTAAACATCGTCCCTCCATCACTGTGCTTGACAGTTATGCTGACATGCTGTGTTTGGTTTTCACCAAAACATGGTGCTGTGGATTATGGCCAAACATCTTTACTTTGTTCTCATCTGAGCAACAAAGAAATACTTTGTTTGTTACTTAAATACAAAAGCTCGCCCGAAGTTTTTGACTGAAACATAATTTATTTTTCACATCCTTCCACTCATTTTACAATTAAACACAAAACACTATGAACAGAAACATCCCCTATGGTATTTATTAATGGAAATAAAAGCTCACAGCTTATTTTATTTGATAAAGTCTGAACTTGGAGCCCTTGAAAGCATCATAGTAGGCAAACATCCCATGGCATTGTTCAGCCAACTGCATGAAACATAAGCCCATTTTTGTGGGCAAATTAAAAGCAGAGATACTTCCATAACAGCAGAAACACAAAGCAACGATTTTCTGATGGATGAGTTCCTTTATGTGTGGGTTTCCTGTCCGTTTGTGGCACTGCACTCTAATTAATTGTATGCAGCAATTAAACTGTCATTCAACCTAATAGCAATAAAAATTAAACACATGCAACATCGAAAAGTCATAGTTAGTTAGTTCTACAGGTAAGGGAGAAATGGCATTAACTTATTATCACACTAATTATACAATCATGTGCGTCATACTAGGGATCCTCTGTATATACATGTTACATAACGTCCCTTTTCAAGGGAATGACAGATGAGCCAGATGCAGATTCAAGTGAAATTTTCTTCATTTAGAGTATCATTAAAACTACAAAAAAGTAATGGCGAAATTGTCCAGCCCTTGCCAGTGATATGAAAAGAGTTAGCAGATCTGTAGAGCAGAGCAAACTAATAAAATAACCTACACTCAAATTAGTAATATACCCGTAACAACGTCACGTGACCACCAGGCTGCTCCACCTAAAGTTGGGAAGCTCCGAGCTGAAGATGACTCCCACCTCCTGTAGACGAGCGCCATCTGTTGGAAGCAGTTAATAAAACATAATTATTTTTTGTAATTTCTTAGAGTATAATATAACAAGCTTAATTATGTAACGTATATAAAATAATAATAATAATAATAGTTCTATAAATAAAAAAGGAGTATTTGGACAAATAGGGGAAGGTCGGGGGAACTTATCAGTTAGGTAAAGAATGTCATGTTAAGCACATTTTACATACCAAAATGTGCAGCCACAAACTGCAGCTGTATACATCTTTATTTCTAGATTAAGATGAATTTTAATGACAGTTACTGTGTGGTAATTTGCGAAAATTTGGAGCACCTTGTACACTCAAAAATCTAAGACCTGGATCTCAGACTGCTTATGAGGCCCTCTTTTGTCCTTTCCTCCACCGCAATGTAGTTTTTATACTATCACTATTAAATTATATTCTGCAAATAGATGAATACACTTCTGTGCAGTGGATTAAGTTAACAAATATGGATTTGCAGGACAGGTGGCCTCACAGCTAATTGTCTGTGAACCATATTAACTCCATACCGGTACATAATATAAATAAATGGGCTAGGTATACATGTTTTCTTTTTAATACACAGATACCAGTGTACCTGGAAATACTACAGACTTCATTAATAGTATGCAGCATTATGTACCAAACACATGTTACCACGGCACCTGAATGCATCACGTGGCAGGGGTAATGGGCGGGGCCTGTGAAATGAACTTACCTACTGTAACACTTCAGTAAAGGTACGAATAGGGCCGCCATTTAAACGTTACGAACGGGAGCGGGCTGGAGGTAAATATCAACTTCCTACTGAACTAAACACCTACATAAAGTTTGTGTAGATAACCAAGTGTTATAGCGGCTTACCTACAGTATTGTTCTAGCTATTTGACGTTGTTGAAGACAGTTGTTGTCGATGGGTTGGGCTCAGTCCTGTACAACAGCCCAAATTATACTCAAAATATTCATATACGCTTAATTGAGGTCTCTTAAATTCAGACATACATACCAAGCTGGTACAAATTAGTACATAACCTTTAGGTACACTGCTTTAATTCGGCATCAGCCTGTCAACAAGAAAAGGCGCCTAAAACAAATAAAAATTTTAACACTGTAACCAGTCTGCGTATTCTGCTGAGCTTTAACACAGCTGAGAAAAACTGCAGCGGTAAATATTTTTTGGCAAGGTGATGCATAATGAATCTGTGCAATGCTGTGCAAAACTCTCAGTGCGTTTTTAGGGCATGCTTTACCATTTGCTGAAAGAAAACACACAATAAAGCGCCAACTGTTTGAATAAAGAACCGAAACGGCTGCATTGCATAATGTAAATGGAGCAAAGCTGCGGATTAGAGAGCTGAAATCTCTGTGAACTAGGTTATGGAAAAGTTGGACCACTTATTTCTTCCTAAAACAAACTTTAAAGCTTGTTCAGGAGAAGATGTACTTCTGCAAGACACCACAAGGTGGTAGGATTATATTTACAATGCATGAAGGATGCTGCAGCCTGCAGCTTGTGTATGTGTGTTTGACCATTGACGTTTTCTTTATTCCTTGCTGTATTTGATCATAATATCATAGGTCTGGCATAAATCTGCAGGCTCTCTTTCCAAGAAGAAATACAGAGAAACATAATGTATGCATATAGATACTAATAGGCAATCGTTTTCTGACCATTAGTATGTTGAATGTAAAGTGGTTTTGATTGATAAGATCAACTCTGATATATTATGAAATCCTGTTATATATTAAACCAGACACCAAAAAATAACTAAAGATATAGATAATAGTCGTCCATCAATTTACAGTTCAAGATCTCCTGCATGCCATTGTGGGTTGGGAAGATATCAACACTCAAGACAGAGTGAGGAAATTAAACATGCACTAATTGCAGTGAGTTAAAGCTATAGAATTAGGCTGGAAAAATATTTTCTTTGGAGGATTGATAGAGTGAGTCTGGATGTATAGAGTATACGCTGAGTTAGGTTTTGTGTGATGCACACCTATTTGGGAATAAGAGCCAAGTACTCAGTTAACATGATGCATGTGAAATAGTACAACACAAAACAATATGCTTGATTATTCTCCCCACATGTTATGCTGTAGACTACATTAGCTGTAAACTCATGCAATTAAAATTGTTTCGCTTTAATAATTATTGCAGTATGACTATTACAGTATAAAACAAACAAAACGTCTAGGACTCCCGTACATGTTACACCATAACAAAACGTAAAACAACTATTAACACGAATATGGACTATGGACATCAAATAGGCAATGATCTATCAATCAATTCAATCTATTTATTTATGAGGACATTTAAAAACAACACAGGTTGACCAAAGTGCTGACTAACTTAGTGAGTAACAAGACCATTCAGTACTGTCTGAAAAGCTAACAAACTGAGGCTACATGAGAACTAGCTTCACCTGAGCTGAGTTCGGCACACGGGCTTGTGTTCGCAGATCAGTGAGGGCATATAGCTAGAGAGCAAACCTCACTTGCACTGCTCAAAGCTAAGCTCTCACATAACAGAGTACTAATGGGAGTTTTACAGAGTTTAGGATTTTCATGGGTGTTAGTTAAACAGCTAAATCTGTGAGTCCAGTGATGTTACATTATGATTGCAATTTGTAATTTTTAATCTAATATTTAGTCGTTCTGTATTTCATACACACTCATTTCCCCTAAGAAATACTAAAAAACCTCAGATGGTCAAAGGAAACTTCAGTCCATCTGTGAAGTTCCTCAACAATGGGAATTATGACAGCATGACACATCAGAGGCCTCAAATGAAAGGTTAATAAGGGTGAAAGTGATTCAGTTTTTTTGTCTGGAGCAAACTATAATTAACTACCAGTGCACATGATCTACAATCAGTGCTGCGCCTGAGTAAACTGTCTGTTGGGAGAAGTTGGGTATTGCTAATATGGGGCATAGTGAGCTAAAGAGGCACTTGGAAATCAAACAAATCCTTTGGAGAGAATCTTGACCTACTTTAAAAAAGTCTGAACCCGAGGCAGCAGGAGTATATGTTAGATTGTGTGAAAGTGTTTGATAAGGTGACACTGATAATATGTCAGATGGCAGAGAGGCTGTTGTTTGTGCGCCTTTAAATTCTGGCTATACACGACTGTGCAAAAGTCCTGACTTGTCTCTCATTTTTTTTACAGTTTTCTTTTAAAGGAGCCAGACATTCTTGTAATATTGTGCAGCAGTTCTCCAGGATACAGTTCTCAAGTCTTTCAAAGTTTTCTTTGGGCATTGGCTGCTTTTGTACCTCATTTCAGAAGAATGTTTTTTCTTTGTTAAGCTGCTGAACTCTGACTTATGAATAATTCAGACACCTAAATCAAAGGATGAACAGTGAGTCCGTATAAAAAGTCTCCTTCATCATTATGTAATTTCCAAAAACTTGGCATGTCTCCGCATGGTGTACAATCCTTAAAAAATCTTGCAAAAACCTTGTGAAAACTGAACAAGTGCAGGACAAAAGAAGACATGACAGGTCTATAAAAGTATTTATAGTAGATAATCCGTGTATGAATCTTATATTCTTAAAACAGCAGACACCTGACACAGCGCATGAGATGTTGATCTGGACCTTGGATCGAGCCATACGGTCCACATTGTTTAACAATGTTAAACTGAAGCTCAATGAAATGGTGATACTAGATGCAAAAGCCGGGAGCTGAATAATAAAAAATATCTGGTCAGCTAGAAAGAGAGAAAAAAAGTCTTGCACACAATCAGTAATTTACAAAAATCCAATTTTCCACCTTGCTTGTCACTGCATATTGCTTTTGTTTACAGGTCCTGGTTTAGCTGTAACTTGGCGGTATGAAACTAAATGAAATGGTTCAGAGCAAATAAGACAAGCTGTATATACAGTCATTTTATGCCACTATAAAATCTAACCACTGGGGCCCAATTCAGGAGCTGTGTGGCTTAAGAGCTGCTGTCTTCAGGCATAAAACCCACATTATTGTCCTCAGTTAGATTTCTTTACTCTCAGCTCACTCTGGCGCTGAAGGGAACTTTGCTGTCTTTTTACCTCGGTCACTCTCTGTATGTCAATTACTCCACTGGGATCTCGTTACCGCCTCAGCCAATCACGCATCCCTCTTAATTAACTCAGGAAATTACATTCCTATATTTACAACCCAATAACTAGACTGGCCTGCTGAAAAGGTCACATCAACTGTTTAGCAATTTTTGCCCTATTACATTGCAGCCCAGGAGGATATGGCTAGGAAAAAAGCCAAATGAACAGAAGGCAGCTTTTTGAAAAGTGCACAACTCTTTTTGACCTCTTAGTGTCATACTCGGTTGATTTCACCTTGCAGTACAAGAATCCATCGGCCATTCAAAACTATTTGTCATCATGTTCAGGGGGTTGTTGAATTAATCACCGGAAAATAGGCTTATGTGAAGCCAGTAGGTGATCCAGAGCGTCAAATATCAAGAGAAAATAACATTTTCTCACATTTGAAGGTCTACTGCAGACAAAAATGTCCTCAGCTAATGTGCCAGGAGCAAAACTTCATTGAGCTGTTGTTAAGGGTTGTCTGCATGTCCTCAGTGATGGCAGCTGACTTCCTGAGCTTATTTTCTGCTTTTAAAGGAGACATGTCAAATCCATTTTCATTTTTTTTGGAGTAATTATGTGTCACCAGTGTGTCTAGGGGCCCACACAATTTTAAGAAAATCCCCTCATTTCTTTTCATTCTCAGTCATTCAGAGCGTGTGTGAACATTTGCAGCCTATTGTGACAAACAAATCCACGTACACGAGCCCTCACCACATCATATTTTAAGGTAAACTCTGTTTTTAAGATTTTTTTACCACTCAGCCATAAAAGGTTGATAGGGTATTGTCATTGCCCTGCCAAGCAGGTGGGCGGTGTGGACACCCAAGTTTGTGAACTCGAGAATGAGGTGATGTAAGATTTTCAAATTGATACCACAACAACAAGAACAAGAACAAGATAACTTGAGAACTGGGTAGCGTATATAAACGTAAATAAATATAAAATACAAATATAAAATCCAATCTGTAATGTAATGGAGACCAAATGTTGCCTCACAAATTGGTAAAGGTTAGTGCCAGACAGAGATGTTGCTGTAATATCAAGCATGCATTTGTCTCTTTCTTCAGTGTGAAGACTGAATTTAACTGCATTTGGTACAGTGAATTATTTTGTACTGTAAGACAAAAAGCTAAACATTTACTTTTTCTGTATTTCTCTTAATTTCTCTTCTTATGTTTTATTGATCAGAGGGCGATGGGACTATCAAAGGGGCCATCATCATGGTCAGTGGAAGAAGTGCTGGAGTGGATTCAGGAACAGTATCCGACTAAGATGACCCTACTCCACAAAGCCGTAATCAAACATGACATAACAGGTACAACACATGCATGGAATTCCTGCTTCAGTGGCAGGAATTTTACAGGCCAAGTCATTATTAGCTTTCCTCGCATTATTTTGAATCTCTTTTTATATACTTGAACAAATCACTGGGATCCTGTTAAAATCTGCAGGCCGTGTGTTGCTGAGACTAAAGGACTATCAGCTGAAGTTTCTTGGGGTGGAAGATGAGAAGCAGCAGCAGGAAATTTTGCAGGACCTCCTTCTTCTCAAAGTTCAGGAAGAAATCAGTGAACTTAGTGACATCTGCTCTGGTGAGCCTGCCAAATGACTTCATCTTCAGTTCACGGCTGAACTATATATGTAATAAAAAAGTCATAAAGTTGCATTGATAAGGGCATATTTGTTGGAATGCAACAATTATGCATAGAAACAATGGTGCAGGATTCATTTTAATTAAAACTAAGTCATAAATTTAAGTTTGTTCAAAGAAAAAAAAAGAATTAAGAGTATTACCATTTTAATTCCTGAAAATAGTTCCTAATTTTTGTTTTATTTGCTTTCTTATATACTCTCCAGAGTTTCTTTCTCCATGAATCACAGTGAAAATCTTCAGAAAGCCAAAGAAAAAAACAGAACCATGGCTGACTTTTTGTTATTTTTTTGAATTTCCCAACCATCCATTCATCCACGTGAAGGAGACAGAAAGGTGGAATTGATGGAAATAACAAGAAGTGAATAGAAAGAAGGATCGATGAGGAATGAAGAGAGAAGGAAACCCATTTCCGGTGTGAAATCTGACCTGTGCAGATGGATGAGATTAGTTTCTGTCTGAGTGGCTTTTTCTGATCCTACTGTCCATTAATCTCTGTGTTTTTTCTGTCCCTGCACTAGGTTTGCCAACCATGGCATTATAAAACATACGAACAAAAGTTTTTATGGACCAAATATGCAGTCGCAGTATGTGTAGAGGTTTAGGATATAAGCCAATCAGCAGATCATTTAAAGCCAAAATAAAATAATCTGCTCACCGATTTTCCCAGGGGATGCATTCTGCTGAGTTTGTTGGTTTAAATTTGTGTTTTTGACTGCAGTTTTTCAGGATTTATGAGAGATTTTTTACTTACCTTCTTGACCCCGTGACAAATATCAAATCCTACACACATTTTCATCCTACTAGTATTGTAATAGGTAGCTTGCTCTCAAAATAGGAACAGATTGTATTTTAATAACAGATACTGCTTATCCTCAGTATTTCCTGGGTGGAAAGGTTAAACATTTCACACGTCTGATCAGAAGAGCTGAGTCAAAGCTGTAAAACTTTGTCATGTTGTTTGCTTTTCTCTCTGACTAAAATTGCTTTTCACAAACCAGATGTTGGTCTGCTGCTGTTTCCTTTCAAGTTCATTGTTTTTTGAAGTGAACTGTCAGTTTGTCTGGATTTGATTGTGATGATGCAGTTTCATTAAATCTGTTTCAACCGACTGCCACTTTGAGATTGCCTCCTTTAAATGTGTATTGTAGGCATCGCTAAGACTGCACAAGTTTCCTACTTCTGACCATCTCTTTGTTGTTTGGTGCACTGAATTTAAAGTGTTTTTGTTAATCATTTCTCTTTTTGGTAAAGACTACTATTGTGTAAACATAGTAAGGAATTTCTGTTTTTACAGCTGCAGCCTGTTAATATCCATGTTCCTCCTAAAAATCTTCTTTTTACTGTGTGGAAAATCCCTCTATGACAGATCGCTGTGAAAGACCCAGGACTGTTAAAACTAAAGGCTATAATCATAGGTGTGTCACCTTCATGGGTATAACCTGGATATATTATGATTAGCTGGAATCTATTGATCTGTAATTGCAGTCACGCATTAACACATTTGAAAATAATTGTTGCAAGCAGGCTCCTCTCTACATATCGCAGCAGTGTGGTTGTACCTCTCACTGCTTGGCAGTTGCGCATTTTCCTTGAGCATCTGAAAGTGCATTGATAGTAATAGGCTACTGCTTGCAGTTAGGCTATATATAGTGTTTCGCATAGAAATGGGGGGGATGAAGGCAGCCAAGACTTTAAATCAGTCCTGTTTAATATCTTATGATTCCTTCAGCAGCTGTGTGTTTTAACGAAACTGTGACCTGATCTAAGATCAAATCCAGGATGCTAATATTATGTATTATATTATTATTATTATATAATATTATAACCTACTGAGCTGATTAAAGCAGATACCACACTGCCAGGAAGGGGAGCTACAAAGAAGTGAACAGTCTAACATTTTTATGGTAGTTTACTTTTAATGGAAAGAAAAAAATGTCAATCAAAACTCCAGAATAAAAACATCATTTGGGAGGTAGGATTGCTTCTCACCTGAAGAAAGATATAATATAGGCTTTGAAATTGTATACGCTGGATTTGAAAGGGCAGTAAGGCAAAGCACACAGTCCCTTAACGTAAGACTGTCAATGAAACCTTGTTTTAAACACAATTATGCATAATTTTTTAATTAACTGAAAGTAAAAATCTTAGTTTAAAAAAGTAAAAATAAAAAAATCAGTTAAAAGTCAAAAAGATGATAGCATTGTATAGACTTCAGCATCACAGTATGTATGTAATTACACGTATACACTCATACACTGGAATGCAAAGACTGAAATACTACTCTTAAAGGCATGAAATGCTTATCAAAACTTGAGGGCTCGTGTGACCTTTCCTCTCTCTTTCTTTATGTTTCTGGGCCCGACAGTGTGTGTTTGTGTGTCGGAGTGTGATTAATACCCCAGGAGATGGTGTGACATTTGATTTGGCAGGGCGTGGCTGTGGAAGTGCTTACTCAGCACAAACATAAATCCACCTCTCTGCTAGACTGAAGCAGATGATAAACAACACAGCTGACCCCGGTGACAGGGCCACCAAAATGAGAAGTCTGGTGGGAAATATCAAAATGCAAAATCTTTTTTTTTTTTAAAGAATCTACTTATATTCTTATATATGTTTGATAAAGCAGGTAAAATAATCTGATTTGTATACCTTTTTCAAATTAAATCGCAATTTCCGTGTTTACACATATTTATCATTGTGTTTTTTTGTTGTGGGTAATACTGATATATATCAGTACCCATAGCCAGTCTTGTTGAAGCTTCAGATGATGCTCCAGATATTGATAATAAGTGGAAGGAAGGTAGTCAGAACTGAGGGGATTGAACTACCAGAACGCAACATTGCAGACATTGCAGACAGCTCCAAGCACCTGGGAATCCCACAGGCAAATAGAAACCATGAAGAGGACGCTAGGAAAGCCGCAACCATCAAATACCTGCAGAGAATAAGACAAGTCCTGAGGAGTCAGCTGAATGGGAAGAACAAGATCTGGGCAATCAAGAAATCATCATCAAAATGAGACAGCTCCTCACCATACACAGAGGGTTTCACCCTAAGTCCAGCACCCTGAGACTGTACGCTGGGCAGGAAGAAGGAGGTCAAGGACTAGTGAGTGTCAGAACCACTGTTCAGGATGAAATGGCAAAGATCCATTAGTATATCAGGAAGATGGGCACAACTGATTATGCGCTTAGTGAATATCTCAGACAGCAGAAACACGAGAAAAAAGAAGAGGAATTCCGGAATGATATCCAAGATGTCTGCCCAGAAGCTCTAGGAACAGCAAAGATACTGCTGTCAAGCTCCCAGGCCTATGGCATAAAAACTATGAGATCTTGCTGTCTGGGTGGCTTTTTTCCCCTATTTTATTACTTAAACATTTGCTTTTAAAAATGACTTATGGTGTCAAAATATAAAATAATTATAGAGAAAAAGTAGAGAAGTTGCAGCTGTAATAATATGCACGAAAGATTACCCTTCTATGTGTTTCAGGCAGGAATAAAGTCACTGATGTCAAAGTCATCCCACCTCATCTATAGATAAATCCAGTTCGAATTGGATTTTATTCCCATGAAACATGATGAGAAAAGTAAAAATGTGAAAACGCCTGCTTGAATTGATTTACTAGCACTTGGTGATGGTTTCTTTTACAGAGAAGCAACACAAGAAATTAACCCTCATTCAAGCACAGCTGTTATATTAAAAAATGTCTAATATTTTCCCCCATTGTTCCATCTAACCAAGCCAACACTGCAGCTGTTATGGCGACCAGGTGTCTCTTGCTTCAAACAGCCCAGTTTAAACTTACTATAGCTGAGAGCCTCCTCCTACTCTTCAGTCCTTCAGCGTCTGCCAGCCACAGCAGTCCCTTTGTCACGTTTGTGTGATTTATTCATAGCTGCAGCGGGTAGAGAAAGATCAATACTTTGTGAGAGAAAAATGAGTTAGCAGCAGGCCACTCGGACAGGAAGAAAAAGAGAGAAGTTCACTGTAAGTTCAGAGGGTCATGACAGAAATCTGCTGCTCACTTCACAGCAGTGCTGAGATACAAACAGCAATAATTCAGAAGCTAGCATTACCAGCTCTAAGTATGACGCCCTGAGACAAGTGATTTGTCATATTATGTTTGTCTTATGCTATGAAAATTGGCATTCAACATATCTTTAAACATCAGCCTACTTTTTTGTGAACAATTTATGGATAAGAGAGTTATTTATTCTTTCGTTTTAGCTATCAGCCAAAACAGTCAACAGTAGTGGAATTGAACTGTTAGCTACTAGCAAAAGCTAACATAATTGACATTAAACTCATACAATTCAAAGAGACAATATACAACATGTTTGCTCAGTAGAAAAATCATAAAACAATGGTGTTATCATCAGCTTTAACTAATTTATTCCTAGAGGTAACTCCTGCTGCAATCTATGCAGATTGTTGCTGTGTCAGTTTACTATTTTATATGCAGTTGCAAAGTTCTGATGGGAATTCTCTGATATTTATGTAAATGTTTGACTCATCTCAACATTGTTGCCAACCTACATGTTGCCACGCCCACTCATGAACCTACAACCCCTCAGTGACATAGGCAGTGTTGGCCTACCCCAGCAGAATGATGTTTGTTATCCTTCCAGGGTAAACCAACTGTGGGTTAAAACTCTGGCTTTGACAAACGCTCAAGCTGTCAGTGCAGCCACCAAACCCTGTCTCATTGTGTATATGCAGGGTACATGTATGGGTGGTTTGATCAGTGCGGGACATTGGGAACATACGTTATATATTCCCTGTGTAAAATACTGACTTTGCTTTTCTGATTTTTGCTTTTAACTTGTGCAAATTAAGGCATCATTTCCATACTATCTGGCTAGTGTTATTAGTTATGCTTGACTGTGAATAATATTGTACAAATATTGTGGAGAAACTGTACTCTCATATAAAAAAAAACCTTTCTGAATTATCAAAAACATAAAGGACTGCATGGTTACCTGAGAGTAAAAACCAGAACGGCTGCTCTTCTGAAATTTTGCACAAAAACACCACCTTTTGCTTTCTGTTTACACACTCTGGCTTATGTAAATGAAAATATGCATCTGAGCAGTAAGTGTGCATATATCCAAACATCTTGCCCGGTGTGTGTAGGACTGCTTCATGCTCATGCAGCTTTTTTCTACAATAAAAGTGGAACTATCACTTGACAGCAACAAAACACCACATCACATTTGTTAAATATTCCCTCAGTTTGTGTTTGCCTATAAGGTTACTACTTGGCCACAACAGCCTCCAGGAAAACAACCGTAGAGCTACAAAAAGTGAAACATGATGCCTGACAAATATCTGCTTTCAAATATACATTTATTTGTTGCCTCTCTCCAGTGAGAGTGCAGAATGCGTAGGTGGTGGAGTAACTTTGGAAAGTGAGGCTTTAGCTGCCAGAGGTGTCAAATCCTGATACGAAGTTGTTAAGCACAACTATTTCTACCAGCTATAAGGGGGAGGCTGCAGCAGAGCTGACCCTACCCTGGAGAAGACAATAACATTAGGAAGACCCAAAAGTTATTTTTGTTAAAGCAACAGTTTGACATTTAGGGAATTTTGATTATGCATTTGATTTGATTTTCCTTTAGGAGAGAAATGGAGCCAGAGCCATATGAAGGTCAGCTCAGCCTATCTGCTTAAAAAAACAAGGAATTAACCTATTAGCCTATTTTCTGCCTGAATTGTAATATTACAATTACTAAAGTTGCACTATTAAAGCTGAGATTTTTACATCTTTCTTAATTGTTTATTCAAATTGAACTATAGCACAAAAACTGGAGCTATTCAATGCAAACCGTATCTGGACAATCCCCTTGGTTGGTGCTGCACTGCCAAAACTATGGCTGCTAACCTCCTTCCCCTTGATTCCAGTCTCCAGTTAATCCCCTTCTGGCTCCAGCTTCATATTTAACACACAGACATGGGACTGGTATCAATCTTCTCAGCAAACTGTGGACTTGAAAGCCCAGTGTGGTTCCCCAGATATCAAAGCAAAAGAACATTTCTATTAAGTATACACTCTAATCAGAGATTGGATTAGAAACATTTGACCCTGTAAAGTTTTTATCTCCACCAAGGAAGTTATGTTTTTGGTAGTGGTTGCTTGTATGTCATCATTCTGTTAGTAAAGAAAATAACTAAAATATTTTGAATTAATTCTGATAAAACTTTGTAGGGGTGTAGAGTGGGGTCATGTTAATAGTCTATTAAAACCTGGCTTACATCCACTGAGGTCTTAACTTCATGATTTTTTGGTCCAAAATTGATATGATTGCATCATTATAAAGATTTAAAAGATCATGTCACATTTGACCTCTGACCTCTTCTTCTTCGGGTCATTATATTGATCTGAAGGGCAAATTATAATTAGGCTATACAGAGCTATTTAAAACTATGTTTCGTACTGCCATTGTTTGCACTGACAACATGCAGGCATGTGGGGAATGATATATGGGAATGTTAAATGTCACGTTGCTTTGGATCTCTGACCTCATCTTCATGTTCAAATGAGGTCAAACATTCATAAAATGTATTTTATTTTTTAAACTATGCACAAGATTTTGCTGTCTTTATTTGTATTGACATTTAAGAAATCATTCATATGGGGATATCACATTATCAGTGGCATCCAAATATGATGTAATATTTGAGCTCTGACTTCATGTTTACATTTTACAAGTTGACCCAAGAATG